GAATGGAATGGAATGGAATGGAATGGAATGGAATAGAATAGAATAGAATAGAATAGAATAGAATAGAATAGAATAGAATAGAATAGAATAGAATAGAATAGATTAAGAATGGAATGGAATGGAATGGAATGGAATGGAATGGAATGGAATGGAATAGAATAGAATAGAATAGAATAGAATAGAATAGAATAGAATAGAATAGAATAGAATAGAATAGAATAAGAATAAGTAAGAATAAGAATAAGAATAAGAATAAGAATAAGAAGAATAAGAATAAGAATAAGAATGGAATAGAATGGAATGGAATGGAAAAGAACAGAAGTTGGAAGAGACTCTGGAGGTCCTCTTGTCCAACCCCCTGCTCAAGCAGGAGAATCTATACCCATGATGGCAAACCAGAGCCAGGGTGGCACGCAGAGCCCTCTCTGTGGTCACACAAGCCATCGCCCCAGCTCAGCTCACCGCACATCTCCCACCAGCCAGCTGGTTTTCAGGTCTCTGCCACATTCCATGTGCTGGGGCTGGGGGCATATGCACAGGGTGGGGCACATGCATAGGGGTAGGGTGCATGCACGGGGATGCACATGCATGCAAAGGGACAGAGCGCATGCAGGGGATGCTTGCGCATGTGCGCGCTTTGGGCACTCGGGTGCCAAAAGGGTTACCCATAACTGACCGATACCATTTCAGACAAGTGTCTCTAGTCCATGGCTGTCATCTCTGGCCCAACTCCCAGTGGGGGTCAAAGGGCAGATCTGGCCTTTATCTCATGTAGTGACGTGGTCTGGAACTGGGCAATGCTGCCATCGGTGCCCGATCACAGGCAGAACACTTCTGTTGGCCTTGAGTTCCCTTGGCTGCACCCTCCTGCAGGGATTTGGGTAGGGGTGGGATTCTACAGGTTCGCACCTATTCGCTAGAACCGGTTGTTTACATTCTAAGCAGTTCGGAGAACCGGTTGTTAGAAGAAATTACTGGCCTAATCCTGTCAGGAAGGCAGGAAGGAAACATTCTGGTGTTGCTTACAGAAACTGCCTCTCCGTTAACACTTATTCCATTCTTGGCAGGACTAGACTTCCTGTCTCAGGAACTTCTCTGGAGTTTTCCCCCCCCTCCTTTGCTGGTACTTTGCTTGTGTGAAGGAACCATTCAAAGTTACAATGGCACTGAAAAAAGTGACTTATGACCATTTTTCACACTTACGACTGTTGCAGCATCCCCACAGTCACGAGAGGCCAGGCGAGGAGATGCGTGCCTCGATGTGAGTGATATTGAGTTGGCCACACCCAGCCAATAACATGACCACCAAGCCACGCCCACCCAGTCACATGACCACCAAGCCACCCCCACCACCTAAGCCACGCCCACAGAACCGGTTGTTAAAAATTTGAATCCCATCCCTGGGTTTGGAACACATTTGTATAGTTCTCTCTCCTCTCCTCCCCCAGGCACCAGATGGACCCTACTGGGTTTTAAGGAACTTTGGTTGTTTCTGGTGCCTTTTGATCCAAGTCCTTGGTCACCACTTGAATGAGAACCGGAATCGCACCTTCCAGAAGAACTGGTTGCATCTGCAGAAGAGATGCCAGGAGCACACCTGCAGTGAAGCAAATTCTACCCCATTCGATCCTGGCAAGAGCCTTTCTTAAGGATTATCTTGCAGTAACAAAGATGGCGGGTGGGGGTGGTAGAAATAGCTATTTTTTTTCTGCCTACATCACATCTGAAGAGAGCTGGTCAATAATCTGCTTAATTAGATGTGGTATTCAGCCGGTTCTGACCAGTTCTGGATAAATTTTGAGCAGTTCGGAAAACCGGCCAATCCCACCTCTGACTGGGCCCTCCAACCCCATCTCTTCTCTGCCTCCCATCAAGTCCCAGCTGATTGGCTGGGTCTCCTTTGGTTGCCCTGCACAGGAGAACGGAGCTGGAAAGCAGGTTAGTGGGGTGGGGAGGGAAGGGGGATTTTATAGTATCCTTCCCCTGCCATGCCCACCAAGCCCACCCACAGAACCACTAGTAAAAAAAAAATTGATTCCCACCAATATGACTTAGTTCCTTCTGGATAAGGAGGGAAAAATATTTGCAGAGTATCATTCGTCCCAAATCGGTCAGTTAGAAAAGAAAGACTCTCGAATCCATTGTTAATGAAAGTACACTTTACTAAAGCCAAGTGGTTACAGAAGAAGCAAAACCAGGTCTGGGATTTTCACGCCCAAAGCATCTGGTTAACGTTTCCCTTGTTCCCAACTTTCCCCCTGGTTATCTTTAAGCGTCCAATTAAACTGTTTGGGTAAAAGTCCCTGGCTTTCTAGTCTGGTTCTGCATTCCATTATGTGACCTTGGAACAGCTGGCGGCTCTCAGAGAACAGCACAATGTGTAGTTTCGATTCCTCTCATGCTAATCCCCCCCCCTTATCCCCCCCTTCAGTCCCTCCCTCACCATGACAGTCCTGGCATAGAGCCTCTGCAAGGACTATTCCTGGCATCTGGATTGAGTTACTCAGATTTACTTGAAGTTGGATTTTAACTGTGCAGATCCTAGGGAGATACCTGAGCTGGGATCTAGCATCATTTTCTGGGAGGACTTTGAGCCACTTGGTCCTGGTGAAGAAAGCAGGATCCTTGGAGCTTGTGAGTTCGGTCATCTGTGTCTTAAATTGAGATGATCTCTCCAGTAATGTAAAGTAAAGCAGAAAGTGAAGGTGTCATGGATTTATCTGCATCCTCTCCATTAATTACAATTCAGACAACTGTATCAGAGCAGCCTCAAAGTGAAATCTCACAATGTCCCATGCATCAGAAGAACATGGTGGACTGGAGGCTAAAACATACGATGAACGGTTGCAGGAATTGGGCATGGCTAGACTAGGGAAGAGAAGGACCAGGGGAGATATTAGCAGTGTTCCAATATTTGAGGGGCAGCCACAGAGGGGAAGAGGTCAAGCTGTTTTCTAAAGCACTCAAAGGCCAGACAAGGAACAATGGCTGGAAACTGAACAAGGAGAGATTCAACCTGGAAATAAGGAGAAACTTTCTGACAGTGAGAACTATCAACCCATGGAACAGAAGTTGCCTTCAGAAATTGTGGGAGCTTCATCATTGGAAGCTTTCAAGAAGAGATTGGACTGCCATTTGTCAGAAATGGTGTAGGGTCTCCTTTTGGGTGGGGGGGGATGACCTACAAGGTTCCTTCCAAGTCTGTTAATCTATATTAATCTGTATGGAAGCCAGTCCAATAAAACCCTATGACAATTTCAGTGAGAAGCAGAACCCACCTTTTTCTGCCCATCAAGAAAGAGCATATGATGATGTACAATGTCTCGTTCAATCTTTGACTGTCCTGGTTGCTCAGGGCTTCTTGATTGTGACATGAGGTTGGCTATATGTTGGTTAACCCTTCCTTCAAGGAGAGAGGATAGTCTCACCTGCTCTGAACAAGGTGAATCAAGGAGCCATTGCTGGACACCCCAGAACTGGACAATTTTTTATCTGGTCTCCATTTTTCTTCCTCCTTGGGAGAGTTGTTACAAGAGTGATTGGCTTTAGTTCTAGAGGACCCTGGAAGAAACCGATTATCTGCATCCTTCCTGGTCAAGTTCAGCATTGTTTACAACACAGAGATGGTTGCACTCAATGAAATTTAATGGGACATCGATGGAGGGAACACCTCTACATTGCCCCTCCCCCCTTGATTTAACAATGGGATTTGATGGAACTGATTATGGTCTCCTTAGTGTTCTTAACAGATTGACTGAGTTGGAAGGGACCTTGTTGGTCATCTAGTCCAACCCTGCCTCCAGGCAGAAGACACCATATTTCTGACAGATGGCAGTCTCTTCTTGAAAGTCTCCAGGGATGAAGCTCCCACAACTTCTGAAGGCAACTTCTGTTCCATGGGTTGATTGTTCTCACTGTCAGAAAGTTTCTCCTTATTTCCAGGTTGAATCTCTCCTTGTTCAGTTTCCATCCATTGTTCCTTGTCTGGCTTTCGGGTGCCTTGGAAAACAGCTTGATCCCCTCATCCTCTCTGTGGCAGTCCCTCAAATATTGGGAGACTGCTATCATGTCTCCTCTGGTCCTCCTCTTCACTGGACTAGCCAGGCCCAGTTCCTGCAACCATTCTTCATGTTTTATCCTCCAGTCTCTTCATCATCCTGCTTGCTCTTCTCTGCACCTTTTCTAGAGTCTCAACATCTTTTTTTATAGTGTAATGACCAAAATTGGATGCAGTATTCCTTCTGGATCATCTTAGGGGATTGGGACCAGGAGTTGGAAGCTCAAGTTATGGTTTTACCAATGAACCCAACAAGGACTATGACTCCATTATGGCATACTTAACTAAACTTGAAGTACTTAAAACACCAGAAGGCCTTTAATCAAGTACTCTGGTATTCGAAGTAGTCTGCTCCCCCTTCGACTGTCCTTGAAAGCCAATATTGGAAGATTCCTCACCCAGAAAGTCAAGGCCCAACAACTGAGGATATGCTTCTAATACAAGCCATTCGTACTAGTCTCATCTCACCATTATTGCATAAATAATTAGGCACGTAGGACAATTCTACACACACACTTTCACATAGCAACCCTGCTATGACATATAATGTTGCCAGGTTGTGTTACCATTTGTTGGATGATGACCCATGCCATGAATTAGACTTAATGAGCATCTAGTTTGCCACACTAGAGTGCTCTGTAATTTGATATGGTCTTCCACATATTAACCTTTATGTTCCCCTACACCCATCTAATACTCCTACTCCTTGTTTTTTAGACTCATTTTTTAAATATACACTTTCTGTTTTAATATATTTTCTACCTTTTCCTAGAATACTTTTTTAAAATAAAATTATGATGCTGTTTAATTGACTGGTCTATGACCATAATAAAGATCTCATTTTACCGACCTCGGAAGGATGGAAGGCTGAGTCAGCCTTGAGCCTGAGTCAACCTTAAGCTCTTTTACCTTTGGTGGCCTAGGGGTAGAGGTCTCACCTCACAATCCGGAAGCTGTGAGTTCAATCCTAGGTAGCGGCAGATATTTCTTTCTCTGGGCACAGCAAAGAGTGTCTGTCTGTTGTCTATTTGTGTCTCATCAGTAAGATGAAGGAGGTTTATTTGGGTCATCTTGGCAGTTGCAATTGTTCTTAAACCCTTTGGATTATTGTTTACTGCCCAGAGTTCACTGCAGAGGGTTAGATGGCCATATTCATTAAGTGTAATTGGCATTAAAAACAAATGGCAGAGGGAGGCAGCCTGCTTCGAGGAATCCGTATTTGAAGAATTTCCAAAATCAGTTTCCAAAATACTTTATAGATCAAGCACTTCCATCAGCAATGGAGGATTGAAATTGTTGGAAGTACTGATCAGCTATAAGGACAATATAAAGCCAGGATAATTAAGAAATCACCTCAGAATTATCAATTACTGGGTATATTTCCATTAGACACTGCTTCCTTTCAAAAAGGAAATAGAACAATTTTCTATATCTTAATTCTTGCAATTACATTTAATATGAGTGCTTGGTGTAGTAGTGTGATGACCCCGGGCGTGGCACAAAGGCAAGACAGCCAGACAATAAGTAGAGGTCCCTTTATTAGCTCCAACTTTGCCCCCAATGTTCTGGTTACCTTCCGGTCTGGAGAAAAACTCTCCCAGGATCCTGCAACAGCCTTTGGCTGCAGATATTCCAGTCCATAACTGTGTAAACATAAAACTTTAAACTATAAATCCAACAAAGCAAGATAAGGTAATAAATCCAGCAGGGCAAGTTAAGGAGTTCCAAAAGTGAAGTAACACGGCAGTAAATCCAACCAGTTGGGAGGATGCCAGGAACTAAGATAACAGTAGCCAACATGAGCAATGTTTGTTCTTGACAAACACCCCTCTCAAACTGCCTCTCCTTTAAACTCCCTTCCCAGATGTGCCTTGTGAAGGGAATCAGGGCCCTTTCCTCCCTCGTAAGCCACGCAACCCACGTTGCTCTCTTCTCCGTTCCTCCCTGTGTGCCCTAGGATGAAGAGGGGGTGGGCCTGGGTCCTCCTCTGAGCCCCTCTCCCTTGTTCTACCTCTTCCCTGCTTGCCCAGCCTGACTTTGCCCTTCCCCAGTTTCCTCCACAGCCAAAGGAGCCACACTCCCACTCCCTGTCAGCTGTCCAGCTTCCTCCTCGGATTCAGACTCTGACAGGGACATGACATTTCCTGAGTTCCAACCTGTTGTGGAAGAGAAAACCCAGTAATGAATTTTTTAAGAAACAATGGCCATTTAAGGAAGGCGGGGACGGCTATGCTAGAGTAGTCTTCAACAACATCATGGCCATCGCTGTTGGGCTCTTTGGATGGTCCCTGGAGTGCAATTGTTCATCTTCCTCCTCGGATTCAGACTCCAACGGGGGCATGACAAGTAGTTAGTGTGCCAGTGAGTTCGAATCCCACCTTAGACATGAAGCTAGCTGGGTGGTCTTGGGCCAGTCCCTCAGCCTCCCTGTAAGGTACCCCCAAAATTACATTAATGTCAACTAAGAATCAAGCACAACCAACTGACCCAGCTGGCTTCTATCTCCAAGACTCAGGGTCATCTTGGCCCAAGTTCAGATACTTCTGGAGCAAGCGACAGCAAACCAGTCCCATTTGCCTCTTTGACGTAAAACAGGAGTGAGCAATTATGGTCCTTTTACAATCTATGGAACTTGGACTCCCAGAATTCCTGAGGCAGCATGGAGTTGAAGTCCACAGGTGGTAAAGGGGTCATAGTTGCCCACCCCTGCCATAAAAAGGACCCGGGAAGGGGCAGGGATGGGAAACCTACAAGAAGTGGGTCTGATGTAACTTGCCAAAGTCCTCACACTGTGTGTTGTGTCATTATAGCCTCTTTCGCAGGTAATGCGATTAAACTTCCAGAATCATCCGGGATCCTCGATGAACCAGTCAGTGGTGGTCAGCAAGGCCAAGAAAACCATCACCTACTACCTCACGTCTTCCGGAAATCAAACCACCGCCATCTTGTTTGACTGCAAGAATGTGAGCACACAGACCCTTCGGGCTGCCTTTCCCAGTTCAAGGGGAGAAAGTGGATCTACCTGTGATGGTGTCTTAGTTCACAAGGATGCGGGGTGGGTGGGGGGAAGAGGCACGTTCTGTGAACAGCCGAGTCTTCAGCCATTTTGAGGAATGGGCTAGTCTAGTGGAGAGAGGGACCAGGGGAGACAGGAGAGCAGCCTTCCAATATTTGAGGGGCTGCCAGAGAGGAGGAGGGGGTCAGGCTATTCTCCAAGGCACCTGAAGGCCAGACAAGGAATAATGGATGGAAACTGATCAAGGAGAGATTCAACCTGGAAATAAGGAGAAATTTTCTGACAGAACAATCAAGCGATGGATCAGAAGTTGCCTTAAAAAGTTGTGGGAGCTTCATCCCTGGAGGCTTTCAAGAAAAGATTGGACTGCCATTTGTCAGAAATGGTGTAGGGTCTCCTGCTTGGGTGGGTGGGGTGGACTACTAGATGACCTCTGAAGTTCCTTCCGTTAATCTGTATTGCCAAGACAATGAGATGTGAAGGGAGATGCCCCATTCCGGCAGCACGTGGCTGGGATTCTATGTTGGCAGCCAGCTCTAGGCTAGCAGGGATCAGTCGCTTGCCCCTGGATGGCTCTGGGCTGCTGCTAGCCCCTTCCCCAGAAGGGGAACTCCTTGGACCTCCCACTCCAGGACAGGAGCAGGTATTGGGTGTTCTAGAGTTAAGACTCTCGTCTGACAGGCACACTCTGATTCTCCCACACCCCAGAACCTGGGAGAATTCCGAAAGCCTCTTCCTGCTCCCCACATCTGCAGCACATTTGAATGAGATCTCCAATGGTTTGAGTTGACTTGGCAATACAAATACAGATTAACAGAGTTGGAAGAGACCTTGGAGGTCATCTAGTCCTACTCCCCACCCAAGCAGATCCTACACCATTCCAGTCTCTTCTTGAAAGCCTCCAGTGATGAAGCTCCCACAACTTCCGAAGGCAATTTCTGTTCCGCTTGATTGTTCTGTCAGAAAAATTTCTCATTTCCAGGTTGAATCTCTCCTGGTTCAGTTTCCATCTATTGTTCCCTGTCTGGCCTTTGGGTGCCTTGGAAAATAGCTTGACCCCTTCCTCTCTGTGGCAGCCCCTCAAATATTGGAAGACTGCTATCATGTCTCCCCTGGTCCTTCTCTTTACTAGACTAGTCAGGCCCAGTTCCTGCAACCGTCCATTGTATGTTTGAGCCTCCAGTCCCCTAATCATCCTGGTTGCTCTTCTCTGCACTCTTTCTAGAGTCTCAACATCTTTTTTATAGTGTGGTGACCAAAACTGGATGCAATACTCTAGGTGTGATCTTACTAAGGCTTTTATAGAGTAGTATTAGTACCTCCCTTGACTGTATCCCTCTGTTAATGCAATTTAGGATTGCATTGGCTTTTTTGGCTGCCTGGAAGGTCATTTACTGATATAGAAAATTGATATCGCCGCCTGAGTCTCCGCGACTCCAGGTGGCTTATAGAAATAAGCCATTCTTGTTCTGGCTGTTTCTTTGCTGGAGCAAAGTGAACCTCAGCAGGCCTGGCTGGCTCTTTGGCATGTGGGAAGGGGGTCTCCCAAGCTTGGGTTGAGGTCTGGTGTAACCCAATGACCTTTAATGCAGTGTTCCCCAACCTTTCCAGTTTTGTGGACCAGTGGCAGTAGCAATGGGGGGGGTGGTAGGGAGAGGGACTGGTTCTGCACAATTGGTGAGCAAGCGTATGCATCTGCAGAGATTGATTTCCGCAAGTGGCAGTTGCACCCATGCTGCCCACACATTGCAGTCCGGTTCCAAACAGGTTGTGGACTTCTACTTTAATGGACCTCATGCTTTCCCTGGTTCTCTGCGCAGAGTTACGTCTGCTATAAGCTGGCGGGGCACAGCAATTGTTACCTGAAGAAGATGAATGCCTGGGATCAGGATGCTGCCCAGGCTTCCTTCAACCTATCAAAGCACAAGGTGAGTAGCCCGCAACAGCCTGGACTAAGAAGAATCTAGCCAATTCATCTGTCTGTCTGTCCATCCATCCCTCCATCCATTCACTCTCCTTCTCTCTCTCTCTCAGCGTGAGGCCTGCTCTTTGGGGCAAGGCACCCTGTCTTGCCAGGGCATCTCTGGGTGCAAGGGAAGACTAGTCTCCCAATCTCCAGCAGGCATCTCTGGGGCACTAAATAAGAGAAGACTGGCATAGCCGAAGGGCATAAGGCAACCAGTTTCCTTCTGCAAACGTTAATTCGTCACTCCATTAATCAGTTCCGACTTGCCTCAGTCGCTGAAGTTGTGTGCAAAAAAAAAAAAAAAACATTAAAAAAGGTATAATGGTGGAGAGATTTCTGATTAGCTGTCAGAGCAAGATGGCCCTCTGTGCACAGGAACAGTTATATCTCAGAATGTCAGAAGTGTGTTCTTAGGACCAATGCACAAACCTCATGGTTGCATCAGGGCTTATTTTGCAAGCTACTGCAAGAAACCCAACCAGCTGGTGGTTTCCGTTTCCCCATTCACTTGTGAGGCACTTTTAACTCTCTCCAGGGCTTGCTGTCACTTGTTCTAAAGCAAGGGTGTCCAACCTTGTTAACTTTTAAGACATTAAGCAGCATGGCTGGCTGGGGAATTCTGGGAGTTGAAGTCCACGAGCCTTAAAAGTTGCTAAGGTTGGACACCCCTGGTCTAGAGGAAACTTTTCAAGAAGTGCTTGAAATCCCCAAAGAAGTCATTGAATCAGCTGTCTCCTGAATTGGGCTGGCCCTGGTTGACCAGCATCTCAGACCAGCCCTGAACCTCAGGCAGCCTTGGCTGAAGGACCCAAGGATGAAGCCCAAAACTTAACACCACCTGACCCTCATTGTGAAATCGTGCACCTCTGCCTACGACCCTCCCTTGCAATTTTACTCGCCAACTGTGGAAGAGAGAGACCATGTTTTTTGCAAGGACTCCAAACTATCCAAATATCGGAAGCGCAATTTCTCGCTGCCTTCCAAAACTGAAGGAAACGAGGGAGTTCTTGGCCTGCCAATGGGTTTAAAAACCCCCTTTTGAAAACATCTTTGCAACCCCAACTATGGTGTTACAGGAAACCCCTTTAATAGGGTTGGTTGGCTCCCCCTCAGCCCCCTACCCATTGCTCATTCCTCAACTGGGATGCGACGATCAGTTATTTCCCCTGAATTGGCATCCTTCGGTCTCAAGAGACGATGGTATCGTGCTACGAAACCGCTAACTGCCACTTCCCGTGTTGTTTCAATGCTGTATGCAAAGCTGGAGTGTCCTCTCCAGAGCACGAGGCCTGGGCGTGTTCTGACCCAGGCTTCGTCAAACTTAATAAAACACAGATTTTAAAAGTAAAACCTATTTTAATGTGATACTGGGAATTACTTGCATTCCCAGCCAAAACTCATTATACACAGTTCCAGATAAGAGCATGCTTATTTAGTGCTGTCGAGTGCTGCCAAGAAACAGAAGTCCAATTAAGGCTTAACATAAACCAACCCAAAAACCTAGAAAAGACCGATCAGAGTACAGAGCTTCACGAAGGACTCGGAGGTTACTGAACTGCTTTGCTTCCTGCAAAGCTCTTCGTCATTGAGGGCTGACTTCTATCCCTTATGGGAGGGGCAATCACCTCCCAGCCTTACTCCCCAGTTGCCCCTTCTGCTTCAGCTGCTCTTGCCTTCTAGCAGCTCTGCGCACACGCACACTGGGAACAGGCTCCCCTTGTTCCTCTGCCAGACTCCAAAAGCTCCGAAGGCAGCACCCCACTCCCAGATGGTCCTGGCCCCATCCCTGCATCGGACGCAGGACCCTCATCCGATCCTCTCCAGACTCCCTGACTGGTTCCCTTTCGTCCTCACTGTCTGATACCTCTGCCGTCCACACTGGCTGCCAGCAAACCACAACAGGGTGATTTAATACGGAGGATAAACTGTTACCCAAGCAGCAGATTCCTCCCTCTCCACCTCACTGAAATAGTCTAATGGAGAAACAGCAAAGCCGATACAATTAGTTCCAGCTGCGTTGCAGCAGTTACCAGAATGGGACTGTACACAGTCACGAACTGCTTCCAGGACTCTGGTTCCGGATTTTGCCTCAAGGTTGACTCCTGGAGCCTTTTCCAATCATAGATATAGCCACAAGGCCGTGGAGGTTTGAAATCGGAGCTTCCCTTCTCCTGGAAGACGGTAGAACCATCCCCCCTAATAGAAAAGCAATAGGTAACGTTCTGGTGGGTGGGGGGGTTTGGCAACTCCTGGCTGGCTTAGGGCGATGCCCGTCAGGTGAGCGAAAACAAAGCAGCATTGTCCAAAATGCTGCCGCCGCCACCACTGCAGAACTCGGAGCGAGGGAGCGTAAGGCGTGGAGGGCAGAGGTCTGGTTTCGGGGGAGACAGAAGGCCCTCTTTGCTGCAAATGCAAAGAGGGAAGACGGGCGGGCTCAGGTTTCTGCTCTGCCCACTCAGGAGCTGGCATTCCTCGCCCAGACGCCTCCCGAGGCAGAGAGGGAAGGAGGGGAGAAAAAGCAGTACACCTGCTCACATATTCTCCACCCCACCCCGATACCCAGTACAGGGTGGGCCTTAGGGCAGGGGTGTCAAACTCAATTTCACTGAGGGCTGCCGCATCAGGGCTGTGGTTGACCTTGGGGGGTGGGGGCAGGCATGGCCAACTGGGTGGGCATGGCCAGCTTGACACACCACTCCCCAAACTGCTGGCAGGTTTCGACCGGGCCGAAGGTGACGTAGGACGGCCCCTTATGTTTTTCAGGCCTTGAGTGTCAACTCAAAAAACATTTTCCTGTGCCTGTTTTAGTAGTTGCCATAAAAAAGAGGAAGGAAATCTAAAGAGCAGTGCAGCAATTTGGAAGTGAAAGTACATTCCAACTCTTTATCTTTAAAAGATTGTAACTAAACTACTGGAGCTTTTGCCCGCAAATATATTTAATTGGAGAACGTGAAGGATGACACCCAGCCTTTGAACGTGATCAACTGAAGAGTCTGGTTTATGACAGGGGTCCCCAACCACTGGGCCTCGGACCGGTACCAGTCCGTGGAACATTTTCTACCGGGCTGCCGGTTTGCTGGGCGCCGCCATCTTGTTTTGATGAGAAAGTGCTTCCGGTGAGCTTTTCCGGTTGGAAAGCGGCGTTTGGGTCCTGAAGGAATCCTCGTGCCTTAGTTTCATCGAAGGGGGGGGGCGGCTTCGAACAAAATTAAGGCGCGAGGATTCTTTCAGCACCCAAGGCAAGGCGAGCCAAGCGGCCGTCCCGAAGCCCATCGACAAAGGTACAAAGGAGGAGTTGAAGGTGGCGGGGAGAAGTGGGGGACGGCTGGCTGGCCGGTCGTTCGGCTCGCCTTGCCATACGTGCCGATGCCGGTACCGGGCCGCGGATCATTTTGTGATGCTGGTACCGGGCCGTGGCACAAAAAAGGTTGGGGGCCACTGGTTTATGAGACACCCGGGTGGGGGGGCGAAACAGGGTCACAGGGGACTGTGAATTATGTAGGCCAGAGTTGGCTTCATATAGGGCAGTGCCAGTGTGTCGCCTCTAATGAATCCTTTGAAGTTAGTTGGAATTTGGCTTGAGAATCATGATTTAATTAGGGCAATTGTGGGAATCCTGACATTTGAGTTTGACAGCCCTGCCTCAGGGCCTCTCCTAATGTGGCAGCCCCAGCCAAGAGGTCTCCAAAGTTAGCAACTTTAAGACTGGTGGACTTCCAACTCCCAAAATTCGCCAGCCAGCCTTCCTGGCTGATGAATTCTGGAAGTTGAACTCCATCAGTCTTAAAGTTGCCAAGGATGGAGATTCCTAGATTAGAGGAACAAGCAACCTCTTAGTCCCTTGAGGCTGCAGCGCTCCCTGGGCTACTCTGGCCTTTAAACCCTTCTGTCTGAGGGGAAGCAGCGTGGAAACGGTGCCAGGCAGGCTTCTTGAGGGATGGAAGGGGCTCGATTTCCCCAGGGCCTCTCCCAGGAAGCCCTTCCCACGATGCAGCAGCCTGGAGGATTCTGAGGGATGCAAAGGTTGAGTGGGCAGCCTGGTCCCGGAGCCAGGCTGAGCTGCTCTCACCACCCTTCCCTTTCTCTGCCAGGAGGATCCACCGATGCTTCCCAGCCACGGTTCCCAAGTCTACCGGGAATTCCTGGGGGTTGTGCCAGGGAGCCTGGTGCCACCAGCGGAGGCAGGAGAGGCTGTCCGGGCTCTGTGCAAACAGGTGCCCATCCGCTGGGTTAAGAAGAAAGACGGTAAGTCGATGGGCGCGGCCGTGCCAAGTCCCCCAGTGGGGTCTCTGCTCCTTCTGAGTTGCAAGTGAAGCTGAACCGTAATTCCCCCGGTGCCAATCAGCCGTGCCAATGCTGGCGTTTGTTGGGAGCTGCTGGCAGCAGAGTCTCCCTTCCTGACTGAAGGCACATAGCAAAGAGCAGCGAGGGTGGGCATCTGGCCTCCCATCATTGGCACAGGCGGTTGGGGCAGGGACATACATGTTGGAGCACAGCTAAGTTGACTTAATTTGCCTGAGGTAAACCACACTTGGCCTAGTGGTTAAGGCACCAGGCTATGGTAGAAACTGGAGTTCAAGTCCTGCCCTAAGGCACAAAGCCAGCTGGGTAATCTTGGGCCAGTCCCTCCCTCCCTCCCAGCCTTGGGAAGGAGGAAATGGCAAGGTACTTCTTGAAAACCTTGCCAAGAAAACCACAGGGACTTGAGCAGGCAGATGCCAGGAGTCAACAATGACCCAAAAGCGTGCACACACACACGCACACAAACCACCTTATACTTCGAAAATGTTGCAGGTGTCAGTGAGCAGAAGAAAGGAATCGAATCGAATTGAATCCAGGACCGCTGAAATTCTCTGCACTCTGCACATCCTCCTGAAACCCATGTAGTCAACATTACTGGGCTGAAGGGGATTCTTCCTCCCAGGGAGGATGAAATGTTGGCCACAGCAGCTTCAAATGGGAGAGCATCAGAGCGCTATACTGGCAGAACCTGAGGCCTAGAGCCCAGTCTCCAATCCCCGGCTGCGGCCTGGTCCTGGGCTGCAACCCATTCAGAACTGGGCTGTGCCAGCGGCAGGTGAGCGCGTGTAGGCAGCTCCATTTGTGCCAGCGGTGGGTGCACACACTCGCCTACCCCTCCGGGCCAGTCTACAAAGCCAGAAAGGTTTGGGACCCCTGCCCTCCAACCTTGGCCACTTGTGGACTTCAACTCCCAGAATTCCTCAACCAGTGAATGACGGCTGAGGAATTCTGGGAGTTGAAGTCCACAAGTCTTAAAGTGGCCAAGGTTGGAGATCTAGAGCAGGGGTGTCCAACCTTGGCAACTTTAAGACTTGTGGACTTCAAC